GTCCAATCAGATGTGGCCTTCGAGATACGTCTTCCGTATTTTTGTCCAATCAGATGTGGCCTTCGAGATACGCCTTTCGTATTTTTGTCCAATCAGATGTGGGCCTTGAGATACGTCTTCCGTATTTGTCTGCAGAGATACCTATTTGGCTCTACCTGGTAGAGTCTATCAGGTGCCACTTGCCTAACTATACAAAGTACCAACCAATGTAAAACAGATGTACAATAATTTATACACACACCACACACTTATTCAAGTGAAACCAGATGCAAACAAAGTAATTTCCTTTTGTTTTTGACTGGATGTCTCACATTATGGCTGGACCATGGTAACATGATCTACAGGCTGTAATTTTGTGACAACAGTTCTGGGACTTCAGGCAATTTTGTCAAATGACAATTTCATGTTTTTAAACATCCTTATACGGTTTATTTAATGCAACACATCTTAAAAGTCATTCCTGTAGGTAAGCCTTGTAATCCTGCGTTATTGTTGCTGAACAGGAGCAAACATCTCCAAAACAATTCTCATAAGAACTTAGATTGTTTTTGATATTTATAGTTTATTATAACATATAAATTATGTAGACAAAGCAGTGTTGCAAAAAATGCACAATCAAATTACTAAAAAAAAAAAAATCTTACTATAAAACAGAAAATCTTCATCACATGGATTCACAAAATCCTTTCAACCATTGATAAGTTATCTTCTGCTTGAGGTTTGGTTCTGGTCAATGTATGAAGATCAGCACCGAGTCTTGAGGAAAACCGGCGGTTTACCAGATTTCTAGTTTCTCTTAACCGCTGTGGGCCAGGCCAGCAGCAAACTCTACCAGTGTGCGCGTCGGTCTTCCAGACATGCCTTTTCTCAGGTAGGGAATTTCATCTTTGTTGCTCATCACGCCAGCAATGTCCAGATGGGCCCAGTGAGGAGATGTGACAAACTCCTTCAGGAACGCAGCTGCTGTGCATGCCCCACCAGAACTACAGAGATGCCAACAGAGTTGTCAAAAACAAGAAAACAGAGCCGCAGAGGCACTTCTAAAACCATGAGTGTTATAGTGTGGAGGGGTGAGACACGTACCGGCTGTACTTGCCGATGTTGTTGAGGTCGGCCAGCTGGCTGTCAGTCACCTGATTTGAGTAATGTTGGAACAGAGGCATCCTCCAAACTCTGTCACCTGTCACAACACTAGCCTGCACACACACATTATTAGTCAACTGAGGAGCTGAGACGCCGACATGTTGCGTTAGTGCTGCGTTTCAGGGGTACCTTGTGCAACTGCTCCCAGAGCCACTCTGAGTTTGTAAAAACTCCTGTTGCTGCTGAGCCCAGAGCTACATCCATTGCACCTTTGAGAAAGAGATGAATCACATTTTTAATATTGGTTATCATTTTTCAGCTTTTTTTTATTATGATAGAATTAAAGGCCTAGTATTCCTTGAAAGGTTGCATAACATCAGCTGCCCGTCATGCCAGAGTTTTAGACTAAGATCATCTTTGTGTTGTGAAAAGACAGTTGTAGCTGTTTTGGTGAAAGATTGGAAATAACGTTGTGCACAATCTCATGCGATATCACTGGACGTTCAATGCGTGTGTTGTGAATGACTCGGGTACTACAATGTCAAATTTTAGCAAAAATGTGCAAAAATGACTGAATTATGGCTATTTTTGTTTGAAATGGTAGGTTGGCTGTGGCAGCCATCATGAATGGGATTGCCTCCAAAAGATATCAGTTGTAGATGCACTGTAATTGCCTGTCTATAGAACGCACCTGACTGTAAGCCGTGCATACCAAATTTAAAATGAAACACAATTTTGTTCATAACTAAGACACGCTGTCTACAATTTAATATCAGAGGACACAGCTCCTGGTAGAATGTGCAGCTCTTGTAGTACAAGAATCAATCACCAGATGGCATTTCATAGACTTTAGTTTGCTTTTCACCACACACACAGATCATCACAGGTCTTCATGATGACCCACTCTCTGACTCATGGTTCTCTCAAAAAAGAAACTTGTCCAGATGACATAATTTAACCATTTTTGTATTTTTTTACCTGAATGACCGAGATTACAACCCCTTTTCTCATGGGGAGAGGGGGAACACCCACTCCCGTTCTCTCTCGCTGTAAACAATATTTACCTTACACAGAAATATTTTTTTAAAACTTATTTAAATATGTACCAGTAACATACACAAAATAGGCTACGTACAGTACGGTAAATGGTGTTGTTTTTTTTTTGGGGGGGGGGGAGACAATGCCTTTTACATGGATGGTTAAAAAAAAAGAAAAAGTCAGATGGAATTTTCCGCTTGCGTGAAAGTGTTTCCTCAGTCTGAAGGTGACAGACTACTGCTCGACTGGCTGGACGTTAATATCCATGAAAGTACCGTAGTCGGTTCATAATGTTATTTATCTAAGGAGCCAGCAGATTTTTAAACAGGAAATCTGATCAATGCACGTTTATCTTGGGGGCGGTTGTTTTCGTGACTCTGAGGGTACGGTACCTTATTGGTCATTAGGGTAACTTCTGGTCATATGGCAACAGAATGGGATTATGGGTATTTAGTAGCAAAATTGGACCCATGAGCAAGAAGTTTTTTTTTTTTTTCCATGAGCAAGAAGTACCCATCATGAACACCTGTGGCATTCAATCTGTCTGCGTCAAAAAACCCACCCCCAAGAGTGGTCTGTACTGGGCAGCCATGAGTGTCAGAAGTGTCAAAGGAAAATGTTATTCAGTGGCAGGAAGCAAAGCAGCCCGTCAAAATAAAATAAAATATTTAAATTATAATAAAATATAAAAATTATCCACTCCTGTGTACAAACCACAGAGTCTAAAGCGTGAGAAAAAAGTTGGAGCTTTTACACCGGAAACTACGGTATATCAAATGATTACTTTCTTAGTTTCATTACAATGCATGTAGTGGTTCATGAGATGTTTTGGTAACTTTCAGACACACGAACGCACAGACAAAAATATTATCGCCCGCCGTCTTTTTATCAGTAAGTTGCAAGTAGTCCTTGCAGCACTAGCAGACTCTTGTAAAGACCAAGCAAAAAATAAACTGGTTACTGGAACACTTTAGAAGCTGCTGCTGGTTTCATGACTGTGTGTACCAATCTAACCTGTTAGCGTTGCAACATTGACAATGGCTCTGGGGTTGAAGCTGTGTGCGTAACAGAGAGCATCGGCCAGGATCAGTCTGCCCTCTGCGTCTGTGTTATCAACCTGAATGAAACAAAAAAAACAGTTCATCAGTCCATACACATGCAGATGTGAACTCAGACAGCCGTTTCCTGTCGCCTGCCATCTTGGCTCCGCCCACCTGAATTGTTTTCCCATTCTTGGCTCGGACAACATCGCCTGGTTTTACAGCCTTTCCACTGGGCATGTTCTCACAAAGTGGGGTCAGACCTGAGTGAATCAAATAACATTTTTTTCAGGCATACTGACACTTCTGCATTTTATTTAGAGTCACATTTTTACAATCAGGAACTTTCTTTGAGAACTAAGTGTAACAAGTATGGTGAAAAAGACAACCTGAACCAACAACTTCAAGTGTTTGTTAAGGCTCTTTCATGAAACATTTCTGTGAAATGGTTGCACAGACCAGTATGTCTTTAAGCTCACTCAGGCCGTGCAAAAATCCTACATGAAGCCAGCCCCTTTATGCCCAGACACAAGCTTTGAGAAATGAAGCGACAGTAATGAAACCAAAAGAGGCGTGGAGCAGAACTCAGCTGGGTTCAAGTGGAGCGCAATGTGTGCTGGACATTTCCTTGTATCAATTACAAAACTTAATGAATTAACTCACTTTAGCGATCCTCTCTGTGATTAACTAATTTTTAAACTGCCTACAAAGCTGCAGTGTGTCATCAATATTCCCTTGGTAACAAATCTATTTGTTGTTGTTGTTTATTCCCACAGCTGAGTGGTCACACGCTAATATTATCAGTTCATCACATTACGAAGTCTTGGTATTGCAGCTTTCTTTTCACGTTGGCCAGTCTGTCTCTTGTACTTGTCTCATGGGTGGTCTTCAACTCCTTCACCACCTCATTCCATTCAGAAGACACACACAGGCAGCAAGAACACTTCTCAGGCTTTAGTTTCTTCAAAATCTGGAAATAAAGGTGTCTGGTAATTGGCTTCCGATACTTTATTTTTTACCACATTTTTCGGCCTACAAGTTGCGTTGTTTTGTATAATTTGCGTACCCTGCAACTTATACGCCGAAAAGTGTTATATATGGACCGCCCCCCAGCCACCTACCCCCCACCTTTACTTCCATCCCATCTACAAAGTAAACAATAACATCAC